TTCCAAAACTTCTATAATATGCTGTCTTAACTAAACGTTCGGTGACCGGCATAAGTACTACTGTGATACAAACATGTCACGCAATATCATCAGCGTCCAGTGACGATCGTTTTGACTGAGTCACTCCAATCTTAAAGTTATCCTTTTTCACTCTATGAGTATAACTCTTGGTTTATATCAACTGTCGGTTAATAACATACATACATAATAACACACAAATATAAAACGTTTTTTGCCAAAAAATCAAAATAGAGACTGAAAAAATACTTCCGACAATTGGTGAGTGTATGAAGTTGTAAAAAGCACCTGGCTCACACATCACTTCATGTGAAACAGATGGTCCTTCGACAATTACGGCTAACAAACACGACATAACAGTGTGTGTGGCTTGAACACAATCGGCCGAATTCATGAACTTTGACTCCCTCATTATAGGACGCACTGCCCTTTAACAAAATATTTGTATCGGACAACTTACGTTTTAGTAGATACTGACAACATTTTGCAACAGCTTAAGTTTTATTTAAATAATCTATGACCAGTTGATTCACTCAATAGAAATTGCTATGCCGGAAAAACCTTGTAAATGTATGTAGACGTTCATCTGGCATGACTCTTTTGACACAACGAAGTCAATATAACTCGGATCAATTTTAATTTACTTGCATTTTATTTACATTACAGCCTTCTTCACTAGGTTCTGCCTCATATTTCAGACAGAAATAGATCTACTACAAGAGTGCGCCCGTCCTTAATGCCATACCAATCTTCCGAGAAAATGTGAATGTCGAATCGAATCAAAATAGTGGTACATTGATTAACTATGATAAGAACTAATCATTGATGATATCCATTAAAGGATGTGCGTACGAACTGAGGCATAAGACCTGAGAGAAAATAAGTGGTGAATAAAAATACAATAGTGTGACCGCTTCTAACACGTGTAAGATTGCTGCTTACATCTCAAGCTATCTACTATGATGTTTATTTTTTATCGAAACCCCACACGACGTTAAGCGAAAGCGTATACTCGTTATTACCCGGCACTTTTGAACTAATCTTTAACACAATAGTAATTCAGATGTGTTTATCAGGAGAAAAGGATTCACTCTATGTTACAGATCACTTATTTACGTCTGACAGTGGAACCGTTGTTGAATGGAAAATATGTGACGTACTCTTTATGCGAGTAGGCTTGTCTACTTTGTAGCAGCACCACAACCAAACTTTATGGCTCTCAAGTCGCATGGTTCTACTGTAATGTTATCCCACCATCGTTAACCATTGATATCATTCTGTCTTTTAAATCAATATTACATGAATAATTATGTAATTTTTTAAACTATTCTACAGAAAAATACTTCCTAAAATTCTCATGTCTTGATTAACTGATGAACAGTTGCTTCGACTCCCAACCGTTTTAAGTAAGATGTAGATTTGCTGCTTAGCTTGGTTGAATCAAAACTCAGTTGTCTGGCAAACTTGGTTTCCAGGTTTATTTTAAGCAGTTTTTGACCAAACAACTGGAGATTCATCGTCAACAAAAGAACAAAATAAATAATTATATTATATTAATGAACATATACTCATGTGTAAATGTTAAATCTTTCGCAAACTAGATAGTTTGTCTGCTGGGCTCAGCGACCCGAAATACTATTGAAGCATTCAAACCATGGAATCGGTAGAAACTAAAAAAATTCACTGTCGTCTGTTAGTATGAATTTATCGAAACTTTGGTATAATGCTGAATGTGTGGTACAAACGTTGACTTAATGGTCTATCATGGGCAGCTTAATTGAATATTCATTGCACATTCTGACTTCAGGTTCTCACAATCGTATCGCATCTGTCAAGTGAAATTCGCGGTATTAAGCTCCAGAACAACAACCTAAAATGGATAATGTAGCTTTCCATGTTAATGATTAGTAAGTACAATGCCGTTAATGATAAGTTGATAACTGAAAGTACGTGTTGTTTTCATTGAGAATCAAATGTGACTGTATTTGATGTATAACATGTTTAAAATGACGTAAATCGACGAAGTGATTTTAAAGCGAAAACGAGTAATTTTGGCACAAACGTTTAGTTGGTTCTCAAAGAGAAATCAATGATAGTAGTGGCATATATAAATAAATAAAGTCCAGAGGGTTTAACAACAGTTTTAGCAATCAAAATGAGTAGTGAAATATATTCGCTACGTTTTCTTAGTGGGAAATTTACTTGCAAGATAGTCCATTTGTTTTTATTACCATTTAAACTTTAGCAATTTGTATGGTCAGGTGTGCAAAGTGAAATCACAGATTTAAAAAACTTAAAACGGTTTCAGTACAAAAAAACATACTGAAGAGTCGAAGGACGAAGTCTAGCAACAACATAGAGATTGCTCATCAACGTTTATATCATCAAAAATATGTTCACAGCATCATATTGCGGGTTCCAAATCTCGCAGTACAAAGAGATAAATATCATTCAAAATGGTTTATACAAACAAAGTCTGAATGGCTAAATAAGCTTATATATAAACTAATCATTTTTAGTAATTTAAAAAGTTCCTTCAAACTTTTTCACACTGGTTGCAATTTCATGGCAATCCGTAGTTTTTCGATGAAAGAAGTACGGGAAGAGAAAGGTGTAGAATCCCCCACATTTATCTAGATGTCGCACAAACAAAGAAACCAGAATATAGGTTGAAAAGACTAAAATACAAAGATTTGAAGATCATCAGAATAATAACGTTTGTCATCATTGTTGAAATGGCTTTCGAGAAGCACGACGGAGACTTCAGGGGCACTACTGAGTCCGAGCAGTTTACACCCGGTCAGAACCATGGCATGCTAAGATATAACGGTAACATAATTTGCCTCCTTACGGGTAGGCTAAATTATAATCATGTTATAACCAATGATAATAACTATAGGTACACATATTTTTCTGAACATTTTTAACTCTTATCCCACAATCACTTCTGCTTTTCCGCGTCTTTTGGTGTGCTCCTGAGTAGTTTTACACTGTCGAGTGCCGTTAGTTGTATATCATATTGCGCGTTAGTTAAGTATTGAACGTTGCAATAATATTAATCAATTCCAATGTATTTCACTCTGACAACTATATTATTAAAAACTGTTAAAGGTATTCGTAGTCTGACAACGTCATTCCACATAACACCATTATAGTCGAAATATACAAACCCGGTCATGTCACAAGTTAGAATTGAAAGGATTCGAAGATATATTTGGAAAGCCATCAACATCTTGGTCCAACCCGGTTGGTTGATACGACAGATGCGTTGAACGGTAGACGCAATGGTAATCTGGTCCTGGTGTGTGATCGTGCGCATTAAGCAAGCGTGTGTCGAAAAAGCTAACGAAGTCAAAATCAATGTAAAAGACATGAAGAACTATTTACTTTAAGAACTTCATTGTCGCTACACTTTCTTAACAAGCACTTATCACAGTTTAATCATTCATCTGACCCAAAGTCACTGAATACTGGATTCCATATAGTACGTATTAATGAAGGGAGATTGTAAAGTTTAACAACTAACATTTAGGGAAGTATATTTTGTGTGTAACGACCAGAATTACGCTAGTGACTTCATGTATTTCAAACGCCACCATTTGAACTTCAATGTGTACAGAATTGCTCCAACTTAATAAGTGGTTTTAAACCGAATTTCACCGAGTTACATTGTGTCTGTTCAGTTAAACAAACATACAGATTTCCCTATACAGTGTTGAGTATGTTTTATGAGCCCTGTAAAAGTACGAGGTACTTGAATATCTAATGAGATGGCTTTCACGTCATTCACCAACAATGTGTAAATATCACTTGTTAGCCAAGAGGATCTTTCGACAAATCTCCCGATATATATGGTATTGTGTACAAAATATTTGTCATTCTATACGTTATATTCAGTCAATTCCTCATAATTACCTGCAAGTGGTTAATAAACTAGTATATGCTTCATATAGTTCAGGTCTTCTTTGAGCCTTTGTACTGCTCATTTCCTACTTTGTTCATCTGCCTCCACTTCGGACCAGTGAATATACTATTTTGTGAGAACACTGTCGTTCTTGTAAACTGTACTGCAACAGGAAAACGTCCGTGTTAAACGTTTGTCATACATCAGCCAAGGAGACACTGTATGTTCCAGGCTTAAAACATATCCAAATGGATTGGGTAAAAACATGGGTCGAATTAGGTCTACACTGAGCCACCTATAGTGATCAATCACTGTATCATTTCGTGCATACGTAGACGTGCCATGTCTTTCGTTCCCGAATCAGAGACAAGTTGCTAGATATTCTACTGAAGAAGCTTGTTCTATTGTGAGTTAAATAACATTGTCTGAAAACTACTCACAGTGACTAATGACGTGTTTTATCACATCGGATATTCTTCTCAGGCAATGAGCAAAGATGGAAAAAAGAACACTTAAGGTCTCCATGCGGCATCAGAGAATATGGACCATAATTTTAACAGTAGAGTATACATGACATCACTCGAAAAAATTTTTCTTTGCGTTCCTGTAAAACTTCAATAAAGTTAAACGAAATTTAACTCTTTGTTTTGTTGTGAAAGAACTTAAAAAGACAAGATGAATTAATTAGTGTTTTATTCCAACTCTTTTCTACCTCAGTTTCTGAGTGTTATTGTTTTCTATAGGACAACGTTTTATTCACACCTTTCACTGCAAGTGATTAAAACATTGTCTTTTGTATGTTGTGATACGTAATCGATTTGCTTTGTTATTCGACTGACTTTATGACTGCTTTTGAAAAGATTGTGTCAACTCGTATTTCTTTAGGACTGAAGGGCTGACGTTACAATATCATTATCAGATCAAAACTACGTCCTGTTATTACCACTGATCTTGTTTTTTTCTTTTCGAAAACTTTTTTAGCGTAACATCTTAAGGCAAGATGAAAAGTTTCTCATTACATCAATTCTTGTTTAAGTAAGTCACCACAGTTCACTTGAAGAGCAGCGGATTAAGAAATATGACTTTGTATGATCGTGTTCTGAATACTGAAATGGACATCAGTAATAGTCACGCTACTTCTATATCTGCATTTCTTCTGTTTTATGTGATTGATTATGTTCTTCAATCATGTCAATGGAGCAATAAAACTATGAGAAACACTTACTTGTTTATAAGACTTCGAAATTATTCTCTTTCTATAATCCACGCTTTCATATCCGGATTAAGTTCACTTATTTGGTGAGTTTTGGTTGACGAAACGTATGTTTTCAGCCTAATATCTTATCCGGACCTAGTTGGCAATGTCATAGATTCGGAAAACGTTTTCGCCTATCATATTATGGGTTTCGCAACAGGTATAGTAAATTAATCATAATTATATCGTACCAGGTTATTTTGTTCACGACATTTACCATAATATATGTGGCGATGTTGAGCTACGGTCGTTGGAGATAATATTGCATCACATTACAGTAATCTTCCGCTCTTAAATTTACAACAGCTTTTTAACTTAGGTTTTGACTTGTTTTTACGTTGTTTCTCGGTATAGGATTCTTGTTTGTTACGTATTGTTTGGGCTTTTAATGGAGCTGAACAGCATATTTTTGCACGCAAGAAAGTTAATGATATTGCTTAACATCGATCCTGAATCCGTAGCATACCGTGTTAATGCTATCGCAAACATTAGTAAGTCATCGGGTTTTCTTTTTTGATTCTCATTGTTATTATCTGTTGGTTTGAAGCGTGTAAAAGTTTCATCCAAGTTGTCTCAGTGTGATCCTAGACTTCCGAATGTTGTAAGATTCCTGAGTACAAAAGATGTCTGGACGAGAAAAATTGTACTTATAAAAGGTGCTTCCAAAGAAGTGATTGGCATACCTACTATTTTTGGTCCATCTTACTAGCGCTTATTAGACGTCATCAGGACTGACAACTCGATTGTCAATATCTTCTCGCGGTTTTCTAGGAGCACTATTACTGTTATCTTCGTATGGGTATGTTTTCTGAATCATTTATGATGATACTCAGGTTTATGAACATGGGTTTCGTAAAGAAATTATACACGTGCAGGATTTTTGTAAGCCTTACAAATTCCAGCGTTTTTGTCTACCAGGATAAATGAGTTGGAAATAGTTCTCGAACTACTCCCTTTCTGTAAATACTAAGATATAGTTATGGATATTCATTTGCTTATTTAATGTACGGATAAATAAACTAGATTTAGCTAACTAAAAAATACTGCTCTATCAGTTTAAGTCAGTAGACGTCTGTCAGGCCATCTATGGAAAACCAGCAAAACGTTTTAGTATTAGGATTGTTACACATTACTCTTGCACCATTCTCTTTGCTCAAATCACATTTTAACCTGTCGTGCCATCTGTTCTGTTTCTATATAACTAATGAAGCATAACAAGTGGTAATTGATTGAAAGCATCAACCGCTTGATACACTATCCACTTAAAGTATTAGACGCAATGTCTGCGAAGTCATTTTTAATGGGTATGTGGTTTTATTTTCAGGTAACACTTATAATCCTTGATTGAACTACAATTAAGTGGCATTTTTCGTGGTTACCGAAAAATGTTTCTGAATCATCTTACTTCAATATATATTTTATGTTGTTCATAAAGCTAATCAAGTTGTGGAACCTTCATCGAAAACTCATCCCTGATCATGTTTTGTTGTGAGGAAACAGGGTTACTTCAGATGCTAGTTAACTGTAATAAAAATTTTTTCATCATTGCCACTCATTGTTTTTAAAAGGACACTTAAGTCCACGGATTTCGAATTTGCTACTTTTGTTTTTACTTTTGTCTAACCAACCGACTTGACACTATAAGACCTCAAAAAAGTAGTGCCGTTCAACCGAGTATTCTTCTATATATATTCAACTAATGTCAAAGACAACATGAATTGTAATCTTGTCGATTGGTTTCTTGATATCATTTCCGTTGTATTTATCAGAAATCGTTCCCTACAGAAATATATATACTTCATATTTAGCATATATTTATAATGAAAACGAACATCATTCGTGATCACACACAAAGTTAGGACCACACGTGTGGTTTATGAGTATTACCATGTCAACTGATTCGACGCTGCATATGTTCCAAGCTTATAAGCTACATCTATATGCACCGAATTCATATTTAAATAATTAAAATTAGTTGGACTCGAGCAATCGGGGCTTGGCATACAATCAATAAACCAAATAATGAGGTTTAATAACTCAGTTAAATTTCTTTAGCTCTCAAAAGTAGTTGATGAATATTTAAACTGATTGTTTCTATTACTGTTGTCTGTAAATCACACAAACAATTTTTTTCACTTTTTTAAATAAATTTAATTCAAAAAAACAGAAAATATTTCATGCTGAAGAACGGTTATCTTCTCGTGAAAACTTGTAGCCTTTAAACGGCTCTTGTTTCTATAGGAATTCGATTTTATGAACAATTTCTCTTTTTATTTCAATCATAATTACAAACAAAACATCCGTTTGCACTGTAAAATAGTTACTTCATGAATAAATGCCACATTTTTTTTATTTGTCTTAAGAGTCTTTAATCAACTGTTAATGCATAATTTTTAACACTTAGTTAATTTATTTAAATTCATTGTTCCACGAATATTGTTTTTTTTTTACCGAAAAGAATCCCTTCTGATATATTTCACTCATGAAAATTCCGTTCAACTGTCAGAAATTATGCGCTTATTTTAGTGAATGAATAGGCTTGGGTTTATTTTTACAAATTTGACATAGATGTAAGAAAGCAGTTAATTTGTAAAATCATGAGAATGGTAAGTAGCTGGAGTGAAATTAACGATGCTTTTTGAAACATTTCGATACATTTCGCAAACTTCACCTATCTATTCGTTTAACATTTACATTTCAAACTTATGCAAAATGCATTAGCTGATATATACGGCCAAATTGTTAGTAATTTCAGTTTGCAAAATTTACATAATATCCCCTAACTGATTTGAACTTCTATTGAAATAACACATTACTAGCCAAAAATAAATCGCAATAACTACCCACCATCTTACGAGCTTGGTAGAAAAGAATGAAGAGATCCAAAATTGACTTTTGTCACCGGTTTTGTTATTTTGTAGTTTTATTTTCTCGACTATCTCCTACTTTCGATTATCACCTGCAGATGTTATTATATCTTTTGCTTACAAAGGTAAAGTGTATGTTTTGCCAAATAATTGATTTATTTCTGTCCTTGTGAACTGCAATGTGCTGAATACATCTTTGATGACTTACTAACAATTATATAAATGCTTTTGAGACTTACTTATCAACATGATATCGATCAATGCAGAATGTATATGACCATTCATTGGATGTTGCGACATCACTCCACTTGAAATATTATAACATGAAATATATCAACTTGTTTATGTTTGAATGAGAATCCACTTTTCTTTTTACTATTCTCTTTCTTAATAGTTACATTTATCATCTTTCGCATATGTCTGACACTGTCGTTATTTGGATGGGGAATCATTAACAGGCACAAATTACCAGTTGTTGTTAGTTGGATTCTACTTTCAAGCTTCACAGTATTTACAACAATGAATTTAGTTTTGTTCTATCGTGTTATCATAGCAGAACGTCGAATCTTACAATTGAATCACTATAAACTCTCTACTAATGGTGTGATGGAATAAATTTATTCTGCAGAATTCTTGAAAATGTCATTTCAGCGCCACCATGGTAATTACTTGCAGTTAGCCACTTTTCAGCTACCTTCACACATCTGTGTACGAAGATGAGTACACCTTTTTTCAACTTAATTATAAATTTGTAAACACTGTATATCACTTAACTGTAAAATTGGCTAATTTTTATCCAATCAGCGCTAGTCGATACTTGTAGAAGACTCTAGAATCTTCTCATGTAAAAACTATAAATATACTGACGTATTTCTTATTGTTCTTCTTACCTCATCTACCCCCTGTTATTCGGAATATAATTTCTTTCCTGTTCAACCGTGCTCTGATTTGGTGACTTGTCGAGTGAATTGGTTTCCAAGAATATTGAGCAATAGGAATAGCTGGGTCATAATAAGAGGAGTTATAACAACCAGGAAACAAAAATTATGTTTCTCAGTAAGGTTTAATATGATGACTACCATCTGTTGTTAGTTTTTGCTGGGTAGAATATTTTCTTATTTTCAGTGCACAGTTAAACTGTAATCAATATTATTACTTAAAAATGATAAGACAACTGAAAATCGAGATTATTACGCTATATATATGCAACTGCTTGATAGCTCCAAGTAATCATTACGAAAATGAATACGAGATGACTATCGAAGAAGAATGTTGAAATACTGGTTCTCCAAATCAAGGAAATTTATTAGCGCTTTTCCATTTTGGTTATGCTGGCTTCTAAAACCGAACGCAAATAAATTTAAGCAAATTTAAAATGAGTTACCCAAAATTTTTCGATTTCTACCATCAATTAGTTGGGAATGGACTGATTTTATAGGATATTAGCATTTGTTATTGAAAATTATTTTAATCTTGGGTTTTAATAGCACATGAAACTGTTAATTCCTACTGATAAAAGATTTAAAAACTGTCGATAAAATAAGGGGTATCATTATTATTTCATCTGCTGTCGAACTGTAATGAAAAATATATCTATATGCTATGAGTTTTGCATTTCTATCCGCCTTTGACTCTTTTAGGGTTACTGCCGGTCCCAAGCCCGGGTAAAAGAGGAGGATTGGGCGTGGGCTCAGCATCCTCATTTCATAGAAAACAATTTTGCTAAAAACGCTAACCAAGATGAACAAATTAAACCATTCATACTTTGCCTTCAGAGTTGAAGAATCTTCATCCAGAAGAATTACGACGCCTCATGACAAAATCTGATATTTTTCGGCAGTCACGAGGTCGATATTTTTTCTAACAACCACAGAAACGATTAAAATAGGTACGTAAGATGTTTGGACAATGTGGCGGACCGGATGGATCAGCCGGACAGCTTCAGAAATGAGGAGATACAACTTGGCGATGGTCGGAATATGTGAAACTCATTGAAATTCAGCTGGGCAAGAAAAAAATAGATTCGAGAGAGATGCAGCTGTATTCTAGTCATGAGGAAGAAAATGCGATGCACACGCAAGCAGTTGCTCTGATGCTGTCCAAAGAAGCACCTATAGGATGGACCCAAGTTCATCAAAGAATCTTTCAAAACAAAGAAGGAGAGAATCACAATGACTTTGAGACAGTGAAGATTTGTAGCTCAGGCGGATGATTTGATAGAGTTTTGTTCCCTGAGCCGAACGAGAACAGAATAAGTCAAATCACAAGCTGAATGCACAGAAGCGAACAGGCAAGTGAAATAGAGCATTAGAGCCGACAGGTAGAAATACGTGAAGGAGCTAGAAATGACGGCTGAAAAAGCTTCAAGAGAAGGAAATATGAGACGAAGAAGAAACTAGTAGGAAAATATAGTAAACCAGAGAGACCGGTAAAGGAAAAACAAGAAAAGACAGTCACTGAGACTCCAGAACAGAGCAACTCTTAAATAGACCGGCTCCATTTATCCATCGAAGGAGCACGGACATACTTTCCTATAGATGTCACTCCATTAACGATCGAAGAAATCAGGATGGCTATCAGACAAATCAACAGTGGGAAAGCATCAGGACCTGACAAAATACCAGCTGAAGCACTGAAGTCAGGCATAGAAGTAACTGCAAGTGTGCATCACGTTTTATTGAGGAAGATTCGGGAATAAGAACAAGTGGTGATAGTTTGGGAAGAAGGATACCTCATCAAGATACCAAAGAAAAGAGATCTGAGCAAATGTGAGAATTATAAAGGCATCACACTGTTGTCAGTACTAGGAAACGTTTTCAATGTGTTGCTGAAATGGATGAAAGACACGGTAGACGCTTGACTTCGAAAGCAACAGGCTGGATTCCGTAAAGATCTGTCGTGCATAAACCGAGTCGTGACACTACGGACCATTGTTGAACAATCAGTTGAGTATAACTCGTCACTATACATCAACTTCATCGACTATGAAAGAAGGCGTTTGACAGTGTGGACCGGAGAAAATTCTGGAAACTTCTAAACTATAGAGTACCTGAGAAGATTGTCAACATTATCCAGAAGTCATACGACGGACTACAGTGAAAAGTCGCTCATGGAGGACATCAGACAAATGAATTTCCAGCAAGGACTGGAGTCATACAAGACTGTCTTCTGTCCCCCTTCTTTTTTCTTCTGGTGATTGACTGGATTATGGAAACCTAGACATCTGAAGGAAAGCACTGAATACAACGGACATCTCAGAATCAGCTAGACGACTTGGACTTCACAGGTGACCTAGTTCTCCTATCCCTTACACGCTAACAAATGCAGGTCAAGACAAACAGTGTAGCAGCAGTCTCTGCATCAGTGGTTTTCAACTTGCACAAGGGAGAAAGCAAGAACCTCAATTACAACACGGAGAACGCCAAACCAATCACATCGGTGGAGAAGCTCTGGAAGAGGTGGAAAATTTCTGGTACTTATGAAACATCACCGGTGAGTAGGGAGGATTCAGTGCAGACGTAAAGGCAATGATTGGTGAAACGGGCAGCATTCCTACAGTTGAAGAACATATGGAACCCAAAACAACTGTCAGTTAACATTCAAGTCAAAATCTTCAATACGAACATCAAAACAGTTCTATAATACGAGCTGAAACTTGGCGAACTAGCACAAACATCACCAAAAATTACGACATTTATAAACAAATGTCTACTCAAGATACTCGATGTTCGTTGGTCAGAGACCATCAGCGACAACCTACTATAGGAGAGAACAAACGAGTTTGCAGCCGATGAGAGAATAAAAAAAAAGAGGCTGAAGCGGATCGGACATACATTGCGGAAATCATCAAGCTGCATCGTGAAGCAAGCGCTAACTTGGAATCCTGGAGGTAAACGGAAGAAAGGCCAGCCAAAGAACACACTGAAACTGGAATGGGAAGCAGACATGAAAAGGATTGTCAGTCAGTCAGATAAAACGTAGGACCAGGCACATTTATGCATCGGTCCAGGTTCCCATATCTCATTAGCACAACAAGATGAACACGAAATTCAAAGTAGTTAGTTTAATGGTGATGATATATAAAAGAAAGATTGTATATAAGGATATAGAACAGGAAGAAAGACATATGAAGCAATTTTAATCTTACGGTTTAAGGGAAGAAAAACAGTGCATACAACTTCGCCATTGTGAAAGATTCTCAGACATGTCACACAGACTCACCAGCCATTGGTTACGATAGTCACGCGGACCCCAACCAAGTAGTTTGCATCTACCAACATGGCTCAGGTTAGAACTTTGTGACTTTAAGCACTGATGCCACGTTTTGGTTTGGCTGCCCTAACTCTCTTCCAACCATCCACAATACAAACGAGCATTGAGTGTCGTGGTAATCGGTGTTCAGGCATACATAACACGTGGCCCAACCATCTCAGTCGATGAAGATTCACGAACTCATCAACCGCTTTACCATCATTCCCTAATACCCTACGTCTAATCTCACTAACACTTACCTGGTGATGCGAGCAATATTTCTAAGGCATCTGTGGCCAAATACTAGTAACTTACGAGTATCTTCTACTCTTAATGGCCATGTTTCGCAGCCATAAAATAGAACAGAACAAACTACCGCGCAGTATACTCGTCCCTTAATTGATAGACGGATATCTCGCCTTCATCATAGGTGACGTAAGTTGGCAAAAGCCGGAAGGGGTTTTTGAATCCGTGCTGAGATTTTATAAGATTCCAATCCATTACGGCTGATCAGACTTCCGAGATAAGGGAAGTTGTCGACACCTTCAACTACTTCATTTCCTATCCTTAGTTCAGGTGTTGACGCAAGCCAGTCCTGGAGCAACAATTTACATTTAGATGGGAAGAAAAGCATCCCGAACATCCTTGCATTGTTACTCATTTATAACAGAAGACTGCATTTTGTCAGCGTCTTCACCAAACAGGACTATGTCATCTGCGTATTTTAAGTCGATAAGTGGACCTCCTGGTAGGAGATCCATTCCCGAAAATTCAGTCGACGAGAGTAATATTTCCAACAGTAGGTCTATAATGAAGTTAAACAAAAATGGACATAGTGGACAGCCTTGTCTGACACCACTTGAGGTTGTAAAATCATATGACAGTTCGCCATAAGCTCTCACTCGACTGGTAGTGTCCCAGTAAAGAACCTTCACTAGGTCTATGTACTTCTGAGGCACACCTTTCAATGACAGACACTGCCACAGAACATCTCAGTATACAGAGTCAAATGCTGCTTTTAGGTCGAGAAAAACTATCATTGTCTGACGCCGATATGTATTCCTATGTTCTAAAACCTGACGAATAGTGAATATGTGTTCGATACAGCCACGGCCACGTCTGAAGTCAGCCTGATTTTCTCGTGTTTGTGGTTCAAAAGTCTTAGTTAGGCGCCCGATAATTATTGAGGCTAGTATTTTAGATGTATATTAGTCAAACTAATCCCTCTATGGTTATCACAGTGTGATCTTGACCCTTTCTTATATATTGGGACAATCAGTGATTGTGACCAGTCGGATGGGATTACGTACAACTCCCAGATTTTAACTAGAATATTACTCAGTGCATACTCAGACATATGGACT